AAGGATCGGGCCCCAAGCAGCTCCCCACCATCCACCCCTGGCACACCAACATCTTACAAGTTGAAACTGTGGGTGTTTTTGGCACACTGCCCAAAAATTTTGCCGACCCCTGGTTTATACCTTGTGCAGCAACAGGTGATTTGAAATACTCTGCCTCGGTTTGTGGAGTCTTCACCATGACTATTTCCATCTTTCTTATTCTTGACACTGTACAGGAATCTACAGGATCCTATACCACATTCATGACCATAGTATTCAGCAATGTGACTAATCTGCTATGGTTTGCTCTCACATCCTCTCTGTGGGGGAGAAGTGCATATGTTGTAGCACTTAGTTTTGGCAGAGTGTTGGTAGGGTTTTGTACATGCTGCTCTACATTTATGTTGGAGAAGGCAAGTCAAAGAAATGTGTCTTGTACTTGGGGCAGAAAGTAATGAGGTTTGTGATGGTCTTCATTTTGGTGTTACTGTATTTTTGCACATATAACATGCCCCCAAATAGAATATGCACCTTGTTTTTGAAAGGGATTATGGAAAAAAAATTCCAGTGTTATGGCTGCGGAAAGCAAGGACGGAGCCTAATCTTCAGCTGACTGACCCTGCTTAACTAAAACACTAGCTGCTGTTAAAGACTGGTCTCCATAAGTGGACCTCTCTTCTTAAAAAAAGCTGAAGAGATGTGAAATAGGAGACATGACCAGAAGCCCTATCAGACAGCCAAATTCCCCTAAGAAAGGTTAGCTTCATTAGTCAAGACCATTAAAAAGGAGAGATGATTGTTAGCACCTGTGAAATAAAGAACAATGGACCATTAATTCAGTGGCCCACTGATTCCCTCAGCAGGCTGAGCTGAGGGAATACCAGAGCTGCTGCACTGTGGAGCAGGGATGAAAATAGGGTGTTTCTATCTCGGACAAAAAATCAGCTTCCCCACTTAACACATGCACGCCAATGGGGGTAAAGAGGCATGCTGTATGCAAGAAAATGTGGCACTTCATTTGGAATCAGAATTTATGGTAGAGGTGATATCTTTCATTAGACAAGGGGTGGGCAATTATTTTGGGCAGAGGGCTGCTTACTGAGTTTTGGGAAGCCATCGAGGACAGCATGACAGGCAGCCTGGGGCAGATAAATATTAATTTTCTAAAATTTTTAGGGGCCCCGTAGGCCGGATAGAATAGCCTGGAAGACCACACCCAGTCCGCAGGCCGCACCCCTGTATTAGACCAACTAGATTTTTGCAAAAAATATTCTTTAATTGCAAGCTTTTGGGCACAAACACCCTTCTTCAGGGTGTTTGTGCCCAAAAGCTTGCAATTAAAGAATGTTTTTTTGCAAAAATCTAGTTGGACTAAAAAGATATCACCTCTACCATGAGTTCTACTTCCTTTTGCCTCTAAACCAATACGGCTACAACTTGGAAACCTGGTAGTTCATTTTGCACTCTTGGATGGGCCAAGAGGAGTTCCATTTCCTGCACAGATGAGCTTTAACCCTTTACTACAGATCAGAATGAGATGTAAGCATGGGTGACCCAACACAAATTTATATCTACAGTACATAAAGCTAATACACTAATCTATTGTCTTCTTACTTACATCTTTTGGCCAGTCTTGTTTGATGATAAATGGGAGTTTAGCATTTGTTTTTCATATGAACAGGCTTACATGATTCAGCTTTGTAAAACAATGGTTCTCAATCTTTATAGGCACCCATCCATAACCTTTGTGAACTGACCAGCACCCCATTTCAAGAACCCATATATTAATTATAATGCTTACTTCCTCATATGAAGGTCAGGTAGTGTGGGGGGCTTAGAGTATAGGGACTTTCTGATTGGCTTTTTAATTGAATTTTCATTGGTTGTCTTGTGATCATCAGGTTAATTAGTTAATATTCCTCAATAAAAATCCTACATTTATCTCAGAACATATTAAATTGTCTTTAAAAGCAGATAGACAAAAGATTGTTGGGATTTTATTACCTTTAAATATAACTGGCTTTGCTTTACATATTTTCAGCAAGTTGTCAGGAACTGAAACTGGTTCTCCAGAGGCCACCATTGGAGATGAGGCTGGTCCTATTAAAGCAGAATGTGGCAAAGATGACAAGCTTCCTCCATCTAAGAATGAATTCATGAAGTTAATACAGTCAAGTACTAGCTCGATGAAACAGAACTCACAATGTTTCTTTCTCACATCAGCCAACATCTGCACTCAGAATCAATGCTTCATTCCTTTTTTGTTGAAACACAAATGATACATGAACTACTAATCTACCTATATTATTACCTTACCTTCCTTAAAATAATACCATTTCCAAAACCAAGTTTTACACATATCTAAAGACTGCAAAATAAGCAAGCGCATGAGTGAAAGTATGAGTGCCATAATCCAGAGAAACCTGCAAAACATTTATGGCCTATACATTTTGCATGAACACAAATACATTTTGGTGCTTGGATTATAAACTAATGTTGTTATCCGTTCTTAGAAAGAGAAAATTAAATACGCTGAAGCCTTTCCTTAGTTTTTAACAGTAATGTAACTTCAAACATGAGCAGATTAAAAACACTATTTTAAGGGAAACTACTTAATTCTGGTGGATTATCTGTTTTATCGATTTTATCTTTATCTGAACTAAATGGCAACTGTGTAATCCATCTTTAGAGTTAATAGCAAATACACTTTTTTACAAGTTAAATCAATAATAATAATGTGACAAACTGAACTCCGACGTTCACTTTTATGGCTTAATTACTCATCAGAATGTTACATCTCTCTCAGTCTGCTTCTGGAGGAGAAAAATATCTCAGTCTAATAGAGACAAAACAGCATAAAAGTAAAAACTAGCTGATACACTGTACATGACAGTTACTAGATACTCTTCACAAAGCTAGCTAAACATACTAGGCCACACATGGGACTATTACTCAGTTTAACACAGCGGTACCTTAATGGGAATCGGTCTAAATTAGGATTGAACTGAAATTGAGAGAGCATGTTATAGTTTGGCCAATAATGAATCTCTCTTTGGAATGACACTGATAGTGCCCTGGCCCACTGAAGTCAGTGGGAGTTTTATCATTGACTTCAATACATCCTAGATTTTGGACCAGATCTCAAATGTATTTAAACAGCTAAAAAGACTAGCATTTACAAAAATCTCTTGGTCTGTACCTTATTTACTCGAATAGAAGATGACCCGGATTATAAGACAACTCCCCAGTAATTAGATTCTATGTATGGAAATTATATAAATTTGTTATAATTGTCCAGGGATAGAATCTAATTATTGTAGGGTTGCCTTAAATTTGTCCCCCTTCCACTGCTACACTAGGGAAAAGAAATCTTGGGGGTCAGGTAGCCCCTTTGCCCTGTGCTTCCCCCCAACTTTTTCCCCTGGCAACCCCTTCCCCCTCTTTTTATTGTTATACCCTCCTCTCCCTAAACACATGGAAGTAAGAAGCAAATTTGAAAACAATTACCTTGAAATTAAACACAGCTGTAGCAATTTGCATATTTTATCCATGTACTTAGTTCATCACAAATTGATGCATGTTACCTTTTTCTGAAATTGCTGTAAGTTTTAGCATAAGTTCTCCATAAACATACTTATAAGCAGCACCTTGGCACCTGCTTATACATAGTACAAACTAAGCATGATATTAGTCCAAAACCAAAGGCTCATGATTTCCCATATAGTTTACTGGACTGGGCCCCACCAGGGTCAACAGGATTTCAAGCCATGGTGACTCTTCAGTTCAGCAGTGCTCACTATGTGTGTGTGTACTCCAGATACCCCCCACAAAGGACCATGTGCTGATTCACTTCCACTTATAACAATTGTTGTTGTCATGAATCCTGTGATCCTCCAAATATTTATAGGCAGATGAAGCGCAGAGCAACCTGGCCCAGCTTCACCTCATGGAGGGCAGAGCTACATTAATTATATGTGAGAGGCTGAGAGAGGTAGTGACAGAGGGATTCTGGGTGAACTGTTTGGCCCCATTTGGTGATGTTTGCATTTAAGGTTGGTGAAGAAACAGGAAACATTGGGAACAGGAAAGAAAGGCACAGCTCAGCTGTGGGAATGAAAAAGTCAAAAGGTATGCAATGTAGCAGCTCACCACGTCTTTCACATATACTTTATTCGGATGAGCTGCACTAATCTATCCTGGTATTAGGTTCCCAGCAAGTTTACCCAATATGAACCATGTATTTTATAATCATGCCCAGTGCTGACTGTATTTAATCAACTTCATAGTTGTTTGCCATTGCTGAGCACGTGCTATTTTTGGCAGCAGTTTAATTATAGACAATGTATTTAATGAGGTTTTCTTGCATGCAATCGTAAGACAAGGGGCTTTTTTCCCCATGCCAATTTAGGGGGAAAACCTCATCTTTGATTTCAGTAAACATAGTACTTACTGATTTCAGAAGGACTTCGGATTCCTATTACCTTCAAAAAGCCTATCTGGCACCTTTCTGTATTTTAGTACATAAATATCTTCAATATTCTGGCCTTTCTTCCACTGTCTTTTAAACAAACAAACAAATTAAATCAGCATATCTTACCATTTTTATTTTTATTTGGAATTTGTGGGTTGGGCTGCAAGTTCCAAGTTTCAGTAGATGATGGTGATTCTGGTGACCATCCTTTGTGGCGCTTTTTTGGAGGCCCTGAATTTGTTAATGTGCCTAAATAACATTAATAGTTTGGAAAATTATTATGATGCCAACTGGATGAAAATATTTAATTTAATTAATTAATTTCTGTGCATGACATTCCAGTATTATTTTCATACCTCAAAATCCTATATACTAAGGACTATACTAGATGGTACCAAATATTTACACAAACTCGATAGTCTCAATGTAGTTCTTATTTTATTTTGCTATGTTACAGCACCATAATGTGAGCCATCTGTTAATTTGACCACAATGCACCTACTTTATAGCACAATTTACTCTGGGAGAACTGTATTAATAATATTTTAATATATTTTAATTGTGGATACCAAAAACATATACAGTTTCCTTGTACTCTGAGCAAACAGAGCTTGTGGGAAATATGGGATATAATTTTCAAAGATGCTTAAGTGACTGAAAAGCGGAAGTTCCACTGAAAGTTAATGAACTTAGGTGAATTTGAAATTCTACCTAGCATCATAATTTGTGACACAACTTACTAGCTCCAAACTCCATCTAATTGATGGATCCTGTCACTGTTCTGGGCCAAATTTCTACTGAAAGCTGTATTTTTTGCTTCCTGGATTTTCTGATGCATTTCTGCCATGTCCCATGTTTAACGTTTTGGTATTTCTACTCAGTGGGAACTGAGGGTCTTCTAAGAGTTACTCAGCATCTTGCAGGAATGAGCTCTCAGGTTCTTCCTACTTTAATATGCAAAGGCATGAGCACATCTTGTTGTCCTGTCAAGACCAACTTTCTAGCAGAACTGTTCTTCCTATCTACAAATTCAAGCCTACATGCAATTCAAAAGGGAATAACCATTTAAACAATATTGTTCTCAGTTTAATTTACTGTGTGTATACACATGACAAATAAGTCTTCAGATTGAGAATAAAATAATTTTCAGGAAGATTCATCATAGTAGTTACTGAAACAATAGGCTTTTATCCTTTTATTTTCACCACATGAGGGCAGTATATAGCCACATGGCCTAGTTTCATTCATTTAACTTGGGGCATCATAGCTGCAGAAAAGCACAATTTCAGGATCAAAGCAATATAATGTGCTCATTTGGAAATCACCTGTCCCTGCCAGGTTTAGTGCTGGGTTACCTACATGCTGACATCTAAATGTTACCTTAATTAAATCAGTTGACATTATAATAAGACAGATACTAGCGTACAAAAAAGTCAAATATTAAATGGTTATGGAATGTCAACTGGGATAAAACATATTAGCAGTGCAGTTTGTAAATGTTCACATTAAAATTAATATAAAGTATATATAGAGAGATTATGGCTATTTAATTAATATTAAGAATTTTCCAGCCCTAACAGCTTCATGGGATTTGCTCTGTTGGTGATGAAAACTGGATATCTGATGAAACACTACGAAGTAACCATTTTAGTGCAGTCCAAGGTGTAATGGGGATACTGTTTTAAAATGTGGAACTAGTTGTTCAAGACTCATGTTTTTTTTCTGTAAGGATCACATACTTGCTTAAGTAGTATACAATCAGTTTCTATCAAGGTTTCCCAGTGCCTTGCATTGAAGTCTAAAATCTGTTCTGGAGCAGCTGTTTCAAATTGACAAACACATTCTTCCAAAAGCCTGAATTCAGAGGCTGTTCTTTCCTCAAATTAAACAACCAAAAAGTAAAATATAATAAAAAAAAATAATAAATATGCTGTTTTCTAGGAATGCTGCATCGGAAAGTACATAAACACTTTTCATTGTTAGTTAGTAAGGAATAAAATATATATTTACATAAAGACTCCTAGCATAATGTTCTGTTCTAAATACATAAGAGTTTGCATCCACTACACCCATTTATATAATGTTTCCACTTTACCTCAGGTAACTAAATCAGAATGTATAATTTAGATGAGCTGAAACAAAAAATCCAGAGGTACCTAAGACTGAAGGTCTTGTCAGAGCTGACAGGTTATTTTTCACTAGGTGCTGTTTGGGAGAACCTTTGCCATTGTAAACAGTTGGGCCAAATGCTGCTGTTGATGGGAGATGATCTGACATTGTACCTGCTGAGTTAGAAAAAAGAAATTATATAAAGACATTTTTATAGAGGCAGCCTGGAGCTGATGGAAACAAATGATTAATTAAGGCTTAACTTCAGTGGACCTATGACAATTTGCATCAGCTGAGGTTCTGTCTCATAGCCATTACAATGCTGAACACAGCAAGCCCAATTTTGGTCTTATACCAGTTTTCTCTGTAGTTGCTTTTGGTTTACACCTAAGTGATACCCCAATCCTTCAAAAAAATCAACACATTCAGATCCTTCTACCCATGTTCACATGCCACATAAAGCTTTTTGCAAGATAGGACCATAAGTGAGAAGAATCAAGTGCTGTTGCTAACACCACCAATAAAAACAATTTTGAGCAAAATGCTGAATTTACTTTTATTCCAAACATCTTTATTTATTTTCAGTGAACAGTGTCACATTAAGAAGCAGGCAGATTTTCTTAAACCTAACTCTATTTTTCAGGAATTTAGCTTTTTATATGTTTAACTTTTGAAAATATAATTCAACACTAGTGCCATAAGGATATAAGTGTTTTGTTATCCAGGGGCACCTATACACATATAGTGAGGCTGCTCCAGTGTACTAATTAAAGGATCCCCTCCCCCTTCCCACTTCTGGAGCACATGTATAAATGCCCCAGTCAGCTGGAGGAAATGACAACATCAATGGAACTGCCACAGTTCTTGGACTATCTACTACATCCACAGGAAAATAGTGGGAGAGACCCTATCGGAAGAGGGACTGGAGGGGAAGGAGGTTCAGGAAGGGTGCTCATTCCTCAAAGGAGTGATAGTCAGAGCACATAAAAGGTTCATTTCTGTATGCAGGAAAAGTGGTAAGGGGCTGGAAAGCCGTCTTGACTTACCAGAGGAGTCAAGGAGTGCTTAAAAAAGAAAAAGGAGTTTTATGGATAGCAGAAACAGGGGATAGTCACCAAAGAAGAATACACAACTATAGCCCATATTTGTAGGGAGAGGATAAGGAAGGCAAGAGTGGCAACTGAGATCAGGTTGGTGACTGAAATCAAGGACAGTAAGAATGGTATATAGGGAGCAGAAGGTATATAGGTACATTGGGAGCAGGAAGAAGACCAAGGGAAATGTGGGGCCCTTGCAGAATAGGACAGGACAGCTGACAACAGACAGCCAGGAGAAAGCTGAACTCTTTAAAGAATACTTTGTGTTTGTGTTCCTGCATACAAATGGTGGTTGCCTGCCTAGTTGAATACTGGATGGATACAGGCGGGGGGGAAGGCATTGCCAACCAGTGATCAGATTTGAACTGGTGAGGGAGCACTTAGAGCAGCTGAATGTCTTCAAGTCTGCTGGACTGGATAGACTACACTCAAGAGTGCTGAAGAAATTGGCTGGAGTCATTGCAGGATCATTGGTGAAGGTATTTGAAGACTCGTGGTGCTCAGAAGTCCTGGAAGACTGGAAAAGGGTCAATGTGGTGCCAATCTTTGAGAAGGGGAGGAGGGAAGATCCAGAAAACTATAGGCCAGTCAGTTTGACCTCAATACCAGGTAAAATTTTGGAAAAACATTATCAGGAAGTCCATTTGTAAGAGACTGGCAGAAGGCATGATGCTAAAGGATAGCCAACAAGGTTTCATTGTAGGGAGGTCATGTCTGATGAAACTCATCTCCTTCTGTAATCAAGTAATGAACTGCTTAGATGTGGGAGATGCAGTTGATATCACATACTTGGATTTTTAAAAAGGCCTTCAATATGGTCTCCTGTGATGCTCTTATAAAAAAAACTGGGGGATTGTGGGCTAACAGAGTCCAGTCAAGTGGGTTGGGAACTAGATGAGGGGTTGAACCCTGAGAGTGTTAGTGGATTCATCTGTATCATCTTGGCAGGAGGTGGGCAGTGGTTTCTTGCAGGGTTTGGTTTTTGC